GGGAAAAATAGGAGGAGAAAGTTGTGTTGAATATATTTACCATCTTGAGTTGTTTGTCAAAACAATGAAGGCAGAAACAAACAAACAAACAAAAAACCAAAGATATATAAAATATAAATAAATGGATCCATACAAATAATTGATATATAATATCATGTACAAGGTCTATAGTATGCCAGTCCCATGGATAGTGTTGGTTATTTTAAAAACACTTTTGTTTAATACTGCAATACTTGTCAATGGTCTTGCTGGTAGAGAATTATGGGAGTTGATATGCACATATAAGGAGGGTGTCCAAGTTCAGGAATGCTATAGTAAAGCCTTCAATAGATTACTGAAGAGTGCCTTTATCCAATCTTGTTCACACTTTAAGAATTGAAATAGAAATCCTTCACTTTTGTCTTCTTTGGGAACTGATAATTTGATCAAAACAAAAGGAAGGACCCTTGGGGTTATTACTTCAGGCTCATGAAATATATTGCCTTTTGAAATTTGCCGGACATCATCACTATCAGCTCTTAAAACATTGCTGAAAATCTATTTTAGTTGTTCAAAATTTCTCATGATCAAACCATATGGTTCCACTTGGGCTCCAGTTAGTACTGTGGAAACATGAAAACCAAGGGTTTTTCCAAATATTATCTATTGCAAACCAAGGACAGAAGGCTTGTTTCAGATTGAAAACTAAAAATGAAAGGAGTATTAATAAAAGAGAAGTTTAGGCCACTGTCACACATTTTGTGTCATCAATTTTACACTTCCCTATTTTTAAAGCAGATTTTTCCAAACTGGTGCTCTTCAAACTGACCTTGAATTAAATAAAGTTCCCTCCATAAACTAATGAAAAAGTTTCTAATGAGCATTCAATAATGATCTAGTCTTCTGATAGTGGCCTTAACTATAGAAAAATATATAATTGTTCATAACAAGCAAATAGTTGCTGGTTTGTGAGCGTATTAAATACTCATTAAAAAGTATAAATGTGAAAGTGGTTTTAAAATAGCAATGACTTCCTAAATTACTCCTATGGTAGCCAGATTATATATGCTAACTTGGATTAGGTGACTAAGGAAAGGATATTGGCGATCTAAATCATATTAATCTGGTACTTTGTTGCTGGTGCTTTTTCTAGGAGCCAATTCTTTATGGCTTTCTAAAAGAGTGTGGGGGCCTGAGGATCCCAGAGGGCCAGGGCTTCTATAGAAAAGATATACTATCTAGGTCTTGCTAAATGGCAACATTTCATGGAAGGGATTGGAGTATGTCCATTCTATCTGACTTTGTGGGATAAACAGATAGCCTCAAGGAGAGAGTGTCTTGTACTTGAATTTGATTCATTTATTTACAAGGGTATCTTGGTACTTGACTGCTTTGAAACTTGTCAAATTTGGTACCCGACATATTTTGATGTGAAAATTTTGTCCTAGCACTCATCATTTGTTTGGTGTTTGACATGCAAACTAGAACTGGTTGGGGTCAGTTGCCTCATGACTTTTGGCCAAAACAAAGGGTCACATATTAACCATGTGATTTGCTTGGTACTCATCATTTTTAGTACTCATTGCGCACCCTGGAATCAATTAATGACAAGTACCAAGATACCACTGTATTCATTTTAAACCATCATTCTCCTTGAAAGAATCCAGAATGGAACAAAACGGGGTACTTCAAATGTGAGGTTATAGTTAATTTCTAAAAGTTAAAACAGCAGCTTGGATCCTCAATTAGTTATGTGGTTAGGATGTTAAGATGGATGAAAAGAGCTCTGAAAGTTCATTACTCATTAAAGGAACAGCACTATCAACACATGGACTTGCAATGAGTTATTGAGCCTATGTTCTTTCTCACTTGTTCCCAGAGGCCAATCAGGAGACAGAATGTATTTGTCTTATAAAGTACAAGGGAGTTATTATGATGTAGGCAGAATGTATTCCTTTGCAGAGTTTATTATATGGGGTACTTGAAAACAACAATATCAAAACTAAAACAGGAAGATGAAATTGCCATGTTAAAAATAAACAATTTTGCTATTTGAGCCTTGTATTAAATCCACTAAGGACCATGAAGTTGAAGCACTTTAGCTGATTGCATAATTTTGATGGCTCAGTGCACAACATTATATATTTAGCTCTTTAGAAAAACAACAACACAATAAAGGCATAATAATGGTCAGATTAATGAGGGACCAAAAGGGAGAGCATGCCCACATCAGTCTGAAACAACCTCTAAGTGGTACTTCAATACCAGTGGACACCTAACTTAACCTCCAGTATAAGGAATAGAATAGAATAAAACAACAGAATTGGAAGGAATATTGTAGGTCATCTAGTCCAACCCCCCTGCCCATTTCTGACAGATGGCAGTCCAGTCTTTTCTTGAAAGCTCCCACTGATGAAGCTCCCACAACATCTGAAGGCAAACTGTTCCATTGGTTGATAAGATGGTAAAGCATAACAAATTTTACATAATTTGCACATAGATTGATTTAATTGAATATGGGCCCTCACATCTGATTTGATTCGTAGCAACCATATAGACAAATTTTCTCCATAACAATCTGTTTCTAACATGGCCTCTCCAATTTTTCAACAGTGCACTGATAGCCACTGAGTCCATCCATCTTGCTGATGTTCATCCTCTTCTTCTATTTCTTTCCATCTTTCCCAGCATTAGAGCCTTCTCTAGATTACACATGAATAATATCAGAAAAGAGAAAATACCATTTTGGTATTAATTGGTACAATTAAAGATGACTTAATCCTGTCTCACTCACAAGCTGACAAAAAACAAACAAACCCAACAACAGAAAAAAGATGCTGCCAGGGCGTGTTTCTGCCATACTGAGGTACAAGAGGGGAAAGGCCCTTTATTAGAAATTACACAAGAGAAATGACTACATATAACAATGTGGAATCCTTTAAACTGTGATTTATAGAATAAGACACACTGGCCTGGTTCACAAACACTGCTACAGTAGCTGGTTCTACTACTGTTCCAAGCTAAAACAACCAACATTGTGATGTAGCATGATGCGCAATCTAATTTCTTTCCAGTTTAAAATCTTTTCTTCCTTCCTAGTAGCCTCTTTGCATTAGGAAGAAATTTAATATTTTCTTTGGAAGATCCAGTTAATATTAGCTCAAGTGTACAGTAATTGACATTGTAAACTTTATTTTATTAACATTCTGGTCAAATAGATTCTTATTGAAATAGCTGCATGAAAAAATCCATTGCAAAGCACTTTGGAAGCTTTGATCTCTTCATTGGTTTAAGCATTGTCATTCCAGTTCTTCATCCAGCTGAGTGTAAAACAGTATTGAACAAAAAGGTCACCTGAGTTTGTGCAAGCTTAGCACTTTATACATTTGCAAACACTGCTTTGAGTTCAACTGGTTTAAGAAAACCTAGATAGAAAAATATAATATCTCCTATAGACAACTGTCATTTTTATTCTCCTTCTTTTGGTTGGGTTGTAAGACCCAGGGCAACATATGGCTACCCTTCCAAATCTTTTTTCCCCCCTCAATTCTAATTTTCATTGTAATCGAAGAAAGCAATGTTCAGTACATGAGTGGAAAGTAAATAATTAAAGCAGCTTCTAATTTTAAATATAAACCAGATATTTTGTTTTCATTCTGGATTTATTCCTTATTTTGGAAAGGATGGCATCTGATACTCCACTCCAGGGCTGGGTGTGATTCTCATCCTGAAAGAAGTTGCACAGCCTTTTTTATAGCAGGAATAAAAGAACATGATCTACCTACTGTACACCTGAATCTTGAGTTTGCTACTGTTTGAAGTCCTTGTAATTTAAAGGGTGGGAGAGAATTCCTTTCAGTTTTATGGCTAATTTGAGCTAATATTACATCTGCCCATTTTCCTTATTGTAGCCACAATTTGGAACTTTGGCCAGAAACACATTTCCAGACTATAGCTGAAGCAAAGCACTATGCCAGTGCAGATATAATAGTAACCACAGCTGACTCTTTGATAGAAATAGAATGTCCTCAATGACTAGAGTTTAAGTATATTCTTTCTTCTCATCAAGATTTAATGTTGTATTATGTTGTACAAATACTAAGACTATGGATCATCTCATAATTCTTCTTACTTGTTATTCAGTTTGTTGGTGCATATAAAATACTACACATTCCTGATCTTTCTTCTTTCTCCATCCCTTCTTCTCAAATCCTCATTTACAAGTTGCAATTTGCCCTTGGTTATATCACATATATCCTTTTATATCAAAATAACTTTTCTCCTTGCTAATGAATATAAAATGAATGAAAGCCAAATATAGTAGCTAACATTAATAAATAATATTAACATATGGTCTCTAACCATGCAGCTGACTGCCTGATCAGACGTAGGCCTCAATGAATTGTCTTGTATACAATTTAACTAAACAGGGACCTCCCTTTTTACCAAATGCTGGATCTCCACAACAACTACATCAAAATGTACTGAAGCCCATGCTTTAATTCTCAGTATAAGGCTCTATATTTTGAACATAACAAAGAGGAGTCAAATGTTATCCATTGAGTCTTACCTGCCATTATACAACTTAATGTACTAACTAAATGGCATACATTTTAATTATTTTTGGGGGTAGAGAATCCCTGCTTTCCTAAGCCCAACAAATTGACCACATTGTTCGTTTGGTTTCTTACCCACAACAGCAATGAGTATACTGTAATTCTGTTGTTATTGTACTGTTTGTCTTACTTAATGCTGTGGAAAAATACTTAATTTAAGTACTCTTATTCCAGCCAAATTAAAGATGAACACAATTGTTACAGCAAGCAAATCAGATACATTTAATGGAATGGTTCTTTACAACATTTTAGATTATAATAAAATAGTTATCTTTCAGTTGTTTTTAGCTGCTATAGAACTCTTTGAAGATTGACTTTGCAGACTGCATTAAAATGATTCTCTTTAAGCTGTTGCAGAATTCTTTGTTGTTCTTGATGAAACAAAATACTTTAGGGTACAAGTATGCAATGGTGCCAACCTGTCTTCTGTGGTAATGCAAAAGAGAAGAAATGGTTTGATAGTGTACTCTCCTGTTTCTCACCTGAGGATACACTCATTGCAGATGAAAGAGGAAAAGAGAAAGTGCAGCCAAATGTCTACAAAATCACTGCTTAATTAATTTGTGTGAATTCATTCTTGTCAGTCCAGAATATTTGGGAGCCAAAAAAGCACACATAAGCAAGCCATATATATAACGTCAGAATGTGGCTCTTCTCACTGGGGTCAGCTTTAAGACAGGTATAGACATATTTGGTTACAGGCTAAGAGTCAACAACAAAATACTTGCAATGCACAAGTTTGATTACTAACACATCTTACACACTTTTCATTTTTGCTGTGGGGGAAAGAAAGTCTTCTTTTATTTCTTTCCCCCAAATCAAAATCTGACAAGAAAATAACATATTGCTTCGATCAGCCATCTAGACTGATCATATGAAAAGGATTTTGACAGCAGACTAATACCAAACATCTTATGAAATTATTTAGATAATTTAGTCCCAAAGCAAAATGTCTTCAGAAAAGTTTTTAAAAAAACAACCTCAAAAGGGCAGCCATCCATCAAGGACAACCTAATTCCAGAGTGTCCTTCCTTCTCCTCCTCCATAATTCTACTGATTAGAATTCCTTTTGTACCTGTTTGACCCTTCTGTCAGGTAATGATCCAAAACAATACATATAAACCACATATTTTACTTCACTTTACCTAATCATTCCTCAAAGAAAAATCTACTGCATTCAGTAAACTGTGTTACAGTAGAGATAAATTTGTGGGTTACAATTAGGTTAAATTGTTGATTCAATTTGCCTCTTCCCTCAGTAAAGTAGAATCAAGAATTTTGTATCCAACTCATAGTTCCCTCAGCAGGCAGATCATCCATTCCGAAGTATGAATCATTGGAAGACAATCCTGTTTTGCTAAATTACTTACCTTTAAGTGTTTCAACTGTATGCTAAATTGGTATATCTGCTTCCAGCAAGCCTGAATGTTTTGTTTTGTTTTGTTTTTTTCTGTTGCATGGACAGCCAAGCCTAGGAAAGAATATAGATATAAATATTCTCCTATTTTGGAAAACTGAATCAGCTTGATAATAAATTTCTATAATATTAATGCAATTTAAATATGAAATGATTCATAATGATTATGTAAGATCAAAAACTTTCTCTTTTCTTGGCAATTGCACCATAGATTCCCAAAGGAGGCAACCAGTGGTGGGATTCAGCCAGTTTGCACCACTTCAGCAGAACTGGTAGCTAATTTTTTGTTGTTCAGGCCCAAAATGGACTTCCAGAAGCGGCATCCACACAGAGAACTGGTTGTTCACATATTTGAATCCCACCACTGTAGGCAATACATTCCAGAAAGAAACTTATAATAAGAGACTGCACAGTTCTGAACTGGATAGCGAAGGAGGAAAAGGTTCAGGGTAATCACACCCTAGAATCTCATGGGGATATCTATTAGGTCTGAAGATTATAGTTTTAGTATGGAACTCCTATCTGCTAGGTATAAATAAATAAAGAACTGGACTTGATCAGATTTTACTTTGTCATTTTTTGGCTTAGTTTTGACATCTCCCTCCACCAGGGAGAAAGAAAAGGAGGAAAAGAGACATGACAAAAAAAAGATGGAACAGATTTGCATATCAAAACAAACTATTTATTTATTATCGTGGTTTTTAGTATCGCCTGTTCACCGCCCTGAGTCCCGCAAGGGAGATAGGGTGGTATATAAATTTAATAAATAAATAAAATAAAATAAATAAATAATATGTCATTGATAATTTATATGTCTGTATTGAAATTTACAAATATTGGCTCAGCAGCAATAACTGAAAGGGTGATCTAAGTGTCCTAGTGGATAATCACTTAAGTATGAGTCAATAGTGCACTGCAGCTGCCAAAAGGGCCAATGCAGTCCTCTGCATCAATAGAGATATCCAGATCACATGAAGTGTTACTACCACTTTATAGTGTACTAGTAAAACCACACTTGGAATATTGCATCCAGTTTGGGTCGCCATGATAGAAAAAAGATGTTGAGATTCTAGAAAGAGTACAGAGAAGAGCAACAAAGCTAATTAGAGAACTGGAGAATAAAGTATATGATGAATGGTTGTGGAGATTGGGTATGTGTAGCCTAATCAAGAGAAGGACTAAGGGTGGCATGATAGCAGTCTTCCAGTATTTGAGGGGCTGTCACAGAGACAATGGAGTTGACTTATTCTCCAAATAATCTGAAGGCAAGACAAGAAGTAATGGATAGAAGCTTATCTAGAATTAAGAAGAAGTTTCCTGTCAATAAGAATAATTCCAAATCTGTTGTTCTGTTATTCTAAAGGACAGGTCTCACAAGAAAATAGGCATGCTTCTTGAGAGCTGATAGACATTGTTTGATTGAAAGTACTTGAAGCACATTATCTTTGTCTGATCTCACCAAAAGGCACAAATCATGGAAGACAGGCCCCTCAGATAGCTTGGTCCTATGCTATGAAGGATATATATGTGAGAAACAGCATCTTGAATTGTATCCAGATGTTCATCAATACCAGTACTGTCATATGAGCATTCTGAGGCATACTCAACACTGCCTGTTCTGCTGCATTCTAGAACAGCTGTAGCATCTGAGTGATCTTCAACCCCATGTAGAGCACATTGCAATATGCAGTCATGGAGTGACAATGACATGAGTGACAATATAAAGCACTTCACCATCCAGAAATGGGTGCAACCAGCATATCAGGTAAACCTATGCAATGATCCTTTTCTTACTCTTTGGGACCACAACCTCTAATCATCTAGCAATCTTGATATTGTACCAGTAGATGTGACCAGTGGTAGGATTCCAATATGTGAACAACTGGTTCTCTGTGTGGATTCCAGAACTCCATTCTGGACCTGGGCAACAAAACATTAGCTACCGGTTTTGCCAAACTGGTGTGAACTGGCTGAATCCCACCACTGGATGTGACTTCTCACTACTAAAGAAGGACGCCTACTGTTGGAATGGAATATCCACTGATTATGCTTTCTTGGCATAGTAACAGAAAGCACTGTTTTTAAAGAGAAATTCTTGTATCTATGTGAACAGAATGTCAGGGGAGTCATGAAACTATAGATACTATTGTAGTCCTTTAAATAAGCCCTCTAACAATGCCAATCCTATAACCTATAGGATCCTATAGACTACCATTAAAAAAACTGTTCACTGACAGAATTTACATTTCTTGCTGAACTGTAATGTTGTTTATACAAACTGAACCATTGTGATTTACTCAATGAAACATGACTTAATCACATATTATTATGTCACAGATAGGGAGGAACAGTAAGAGCAGAGTTATGACTTGCCTTACCTCAGGCTGTGATGCAACTCTGTAATGTTCAACTCTGGATTCTTACTGGAGATGAGCTTTGAACAGTATATATGTATCACTGAAATAAACATATTTGTTTATTGTTGTTTTTAAACTAACAATACATTTTAATTTCATAATGAGCATCTACTCTGTAAAAATAAGTTTGTAGCAGCTGAATGATTAACAATTTTTACATTTTCACTAACTTTTCTAGATCACAATTTGCAATTGTGCCAAACTTTTTCAACTATAAAATATTTGGGAAAATAGTAAGAATAAGAATGCACCTTGCTGAAGTCTGAGTTCATGTTAGGCCATGAACAGTTACTTGCAGTTACTTGGGGTACACCTGTGTTGCCAGGCCATGGACATTGGCCCTAATGTCTAGTCTTAGCTGTAGTACTGAAGTCAAAAAAGTTGATGTTTGCATAGTGGGGTTCCAACGAATGAATATACAATAAATTGAATTATGTTCTTTCACTCATAATCTAGCCTATGATCACGTGATTATATTACAGAATGTAAAATATCATCTCTGGACAAGAAAGACTTAGCACAATAAGTGACCAATCTCCAGAAATTGCCTTTATGGTTTGGAAACTAATAAGATGCCACTGTGAGATTAATAAAACATATGACCTTTCATGATGAATCTTTGGTTTCCATGAAAATGACTTTTTAAAAACAAATCTTTACTTTTAACAAGCTTCAGGTACACGTTGAATATCTCCTACAGTATATCTGAAAGCTCTGTAAAACAATGCATGTGACAGAAAGGTTTTTAGTTCCAAAGAGAAAATTTTGATCCATGTTTTTCAATCCAATGATAAACTGATAATTTCTTCTGTTGCCCTGATACTCTTTGAGAAAAATTTTAATTTGTAGTAATAATCTTGATATGCATAATTTCTCTTCAAAGCAAGACAATAGTAGTCCCTGAAATTAGAACAATATTAGAATAGCACTAAACATTACAACTGCAGTGATAAAACCTGTTTTTTTCCCTTAGCCAACTAAGAAATATGTACAAATCAGAATTCCTCAAACTCTTTAGTACATCAGTCCCTTCAGATAGTTCATTGCTCCTCAAATAATTATTATGTGAAAAAGTAATAAATACTATTTGAATTAACAGTACTATGAGTAACAATAATCACAAGACCACTCTCACTGGTGATTAATCATCCAACCCTGGATAACAATATTTCAGACCTAGATATCTCACCTTCAAGATTAGGAACTCTATAGAAACCCAAAAGATTAACTAACCCCAATCAATCATTTATCAATCACCTATTGAACCCCAGACATTTATTGACCCTATGGATAGTCCTACTGATCTTTGCAAGTTGATATTGGCCACTTTGGGAAACTCTGGGTTAGATTCTATCTGCCTTTCTGTAAATATGCATGTAAAAAATGGGGGGGGGGGTGGCTTCACCCTTTTTCAAAAGGCAACTGGACTTTGTTTTCCCTTGAAGATATTTTACTTCTCATCGAAGAAGCTTCTTCAATGTAGGGTCCTTTGTACCATCTATACTTTTTGATCACCTTTGTAGATTCTTCTGTAAAAAAAAGATTGCACTCTCTCATTTCCATCTCTTGCTCCAAAGGCTATTAAAATGCTCTGGAACATGTTTCGAAGTGGTTAGGAATGGGTAGTGGCAAATAAGATAAAGATCCCAATTAGATAGAGGTGTTTTGTACAGTGCAATCCCTTTTTACAGATCTTTTGCCAATGTCAGCTTTTATTAGTTTATCAGAACATAAAACACAAAGGAAAATAAAAATAATAGGAACTAGGGGAGGGGAAAAGAGAAAAAAGAAAGTGTGGAATAGAAGGGGTAAAGAAAAAAAAGGTATTGACTTCCGACTCTCATTAGCACAATAAAAAATAATAACATTACAACCTCAGCGTTTTACTTTTATATCATAATGTGTAATATCCATTTTTATAAAAACAAACCTATCTGATGAGCAAAACCAAAATCAAAATTTCATTTTTCCATTGCAAGCACAAAATCCAGAAGCGGTTACTTTTTACAGATTTTAAATAGGATTGAACATTCCCCAAATTGTACAATTTAGGAGTTCTTCTGGATAAGCACTGATATGGGAAGCACAATTTCAGGAGCAACCAGAAATCCTTTTCAGCAAATTAGCTATTTAAGCACCTGTGCTGGCTATTAGACAGAATTATGTTCCTATTCCTACCCTTTATTTCTGATATTCTTAGATTTACAACCATTAAGCAATGGCCAGTAGTTCTATTAAATCCACTAGAACTTGTAAATATTTTATTTCCATCTGTACTCCTTTCCATACAGTTATCCCATAGCTGAAATTTAATACAGGAAATCAGTTAAAATAGTATTTAACAGATACCATTTTAGCAGACGTTGGATGAAGTGGACTAAATTTCTATCTGAGATTCCTCCTGCCCTTAAAAAAAAGTTTAGATGAGGCAATTAAAGTTACATTAATTTTATGTCATTCACAGAGATTTATGCCATTATATAAAGACATTACTACACAAATGACATAACATTACAAATTGCTGTCCTAGGACTAACATTCTTCCTCCAAACTGATACATTAAATCAAATTTTCACTGTACATCCTAATTTTACTGCCAATGATAATGCATTAAATCTTCAAAGGGACGGTCTGATATAAAAATGTCATAATACTGACTTCATCATAGGAACAGAGGAAAACAAGCAAAATTTACAACAAAGAACTCTTATTTATTTGGGCCTGTTCAAATGTGGATTTTTACTGAACATAAACGTTTTTTATCCTATTGTGGGTTGATACAAGTATGTCTCATACCTTTTGCATAACCGGCTATTTTGATTTTCAGAAGAATGAACAGAAATATCAAGGTACCATTTCCCCAAAGAACTGAGATACCATATTTAGAAAGATCACAGTGTCAGCTATTTCTCATTTTAATACCCATTTGTCATAGAGTTCATAATCAACCTATGGAATTAATCAAAATACAATGTGATCATAACAATATTACTAATTTGGATAGTTTTAAAAAGAGATTGGATAAATCAATGAAAGATAGATATCTTGAAGACTCAACCAATACCAATTGTGGGAAAGAGATAAATCTCAATTTTTTAGAGATCAGATACATTCTTTATTTTCAGAAATTGAACAGCCTAACAAAGCAAGATCTTAACCTGCACTGTAGCAGGTAGGAGGGGAGAATGCACCAGTGAAAGAGAGATATGAGAAGACACAGGTGTGGGTTGATTCAGCACCTGAGATGGGCAAAGTCTCAGGCGCTGGAATGTGTCACAAATTATGCAGAGTAAAATAACCAAAGTCAAGTCATCTACTTGAAAAAAGCAATTGTAATTAGGGCTAAAAAAAGGCACATCTGTGTCTCTGGCTTTCTGTGATAAATAACGTTCTGCTTCCCTCCTGAAATTCTGCCCTGTGCTGTTTGGGTTACCAGAATGAACTGTGGATTGGAAGATGACAGCTTTTGATGTTCCCTGAACTTGTGATTTGCCTCTCTGGATACTCAGTTTTTGTTTTTGTTTTTTAAAGTAAACTCTTATGCTTATGTTGTTCTGTACATCTAAAGCAAAAGTTTAATTTACAGCTTGATTTTGTGTTAATTTTTTAACATTAAATACAACTACCAGGACCCTGAATTTACAGCAGAAATATTTGTATGTACAATTGCCAGAATACTACATACTGCTTGTAAACATCTCAGAGGTATAAGGTCATATATACATAGCATTACAAATATACAAAAGCTAACATAATAAATAGAATATATGCATCACACTAGCCCTTAAATTATTTTGCTTGGTTTTGAGTTGATTTGGGTGAATTCAATTAATTATAGCTGATTCAACAAAACTGTTTAGTGCACGGGTGTCAAATTCACTGCATCACATGACATGTCACGACGTATCATGACTTTTTTTGCATTGCCGGTGCTGGGATGGGTGCACGGCCTCCATATGATGCAACCAGCCTGCAGGCTGGCAGTTTGACACCCCTTATTTAGTGCAATCTGCAGTCAAGGCAATATGTCCTCATTGTTATTAATTTCAGCTGTTTAGTTGTAATCATGGCCTAGTGCAGCTTTCCTAATCTGTTATTTTCTAAGCTTTTGTCCATGCTGTTTGAAAATTGCAGCCCAACACATCAAGAAGACAGTTTTAAGATTAACTGAGAATATAGCTCATGTGTCATAAAACAGATTACAGTATTAGTCAGGTCAGTGCTTTTTTTGTAAAAAAAAAAAAAAAAAAAAAGGTGCCATAACCCACACATGTCATACAACCCGCCTTGCCTATCCTACAAGGTTCCATTCAGAAAAAGTGCCGGAACTCGGTTCTAGGCCTTCTATGACAAAAAAAGCCCTGAGCCAAGTTGTACACCTTCCTTTAAATGAAAAGAGAGGATACAAATGGTTTTCAACTGAATTGCTATATTTGCTGTACATGGCATACTACCCTATTGGCTATTTCAGATCTTCCAAAGCATAACAACCATTATGCTTCCTAGACAATCTCAGTACTGCCATATTGCATGGTTGCTGCAGGAAATGAATTGGCTATCAATTTTTCCAAGTGCAATTAATTAATTAATTAATTAATTAATTAATTCATATTTCATATTTATAAACTCCATTTTTTCAAAGAAGGGCTCTGGACAGTATATGCTAGTTGATATTTATAAAACCTATAATGGCTTGAAACCTAGTTACCAGACAAATTCTGCTATGCAATATAGGCAATAAGAGTGCCTGGCTAAAGTTCCTTCCTATACCCAGACATGATAGGGAGAAGCTTAGCAGCAGGCAGGCTCCCTTTCCAGCCTACTCCCCCCCCCCAAACTGAGGGTAACAAAAGTGGGATATTCAAAGTGACCTCCCCCAGGTGGGTCCCATTCTTATGATCTTCTAAAACAGGGGTGTCAAACTCACAACGCAACGTGACATCTCATGATGTATCGCAACTTTTTTCCCATTGCCGGCAATGGGGTGGGCGCGGTTTCAGCACGACACATCCAGCCCGCTGGCCGGCAGTTTGAC